GGAGCAGCTCGAGTGCAGCCGCAAGAAGTGACCGAAGGCACGAGGAGGACGTTGAGGAACTTCCTGAGTGCCCCGATCACCGCTTCGAGCTCCTTCGAGAGAGAGGCAAGCCCCGGAGCATTTTCCTCCCCGGTTTGCGATTATTAATTAATGCTTTACTTTAATTGATGCATTATGTTCAGGAGTTGTTTGCAACCGTTGCTGCATTATACCTTGTCTATCTTTGTTATACTATATCCTTGTTACCACGGTATCCATGATCGAGTCAATGCTTAGGTTGGCTTAGATCGGTCGAAGTCGGGTGATTTCTTGTCACTGCGAGCTATAGGTGGTTACCGGATGCGCTTGGATAACTATGTAGTCATGGTATAACTAAGTGTTAATTTGAAGTTGAGACCGGACGGAGACTTCTGAGTTTTGGACTGTAGTGCTTTCCGTCTGTGGTCAATTAAGGACCGACCGTTGTTGGGCCTCGAGGTCATGTTGAACGATGCCTTACATTTAGTCGGCGAATAAAGTACCTTTCGACCGCTGGTTGGTAGATTATTCGGGCCGAGTAGATTGCCCTCGGCAAGCTTTGCATCGGAGGCGGTGTGGTAGGACACGGGCGCGATGATAAGACCGAAAAGGCAGTCGGTCGCCCCCGGGTACATGTGGTTCCTGGCAAACTCGAGATTTTTCCTAGATAGTTGACTCGGTGACCGATACCTCACTTTAGCGGGTGAGTGAGGTTTGTGTAAGGAATAAATTACCAGCTAGTTAATAATCGATTCGAATCGCCATCGTTCCTTCGGATAGTGAACACTTGACTTGAGTTACTTCATCGTAGTAATGTTGATGGAACACTTGGATAGTTATAATGAATATGACATTATGGAAGTTGTTAATGATCATTGGTTATCATTATTTGCTTAATCACATGCTTGCTCTAGTATAGGTGCAAATGTAGTCAACAGGTTAATAATAATTAACTTGACAATAATTATTTTGGAAATGTTCTTAAAATACTAAAAATGCCTCTTTTTACAAATGAGTCGGCTACCCTACTATAAAGCCTTTCATAATCCTTGGTGTCACTTTATTTTCGGTTATGTCGGGTAAGTCTAGCTGAGTACCTTCTCGTACTCAGGGTTTTATTCCCACTTGTTGGAGATGGACAAATGTATTACGGCTAATGTATCAACTGCCTTTATCCTGCGATGTGTGATGCTTAGGACCATGGGCATGGTCATTCCTTAAGTCTCGTCTAATGCTTTTGTTGGAGATGATCATTAATCGGCTTTGTATTTGAACTCCGTGTGAGTGTGTGTGGTTTTGAACAAATGGCTTCCGCTACTTCTATTTGAACTCGTTTTGTAATAACTATGTTTAAACTCTGATGTACCTGTAATGCAAACTTTTATGTAATATGTGATGGTGACCGCTAAACTTATTACGATCTGGCGGGTGATTTTCTTACTTAATTTCGTATAATTGATCGGTTCTGTTACAGGCCACGGGCCGCCCGGTATGCTAGATTGGTCGTGCTTCTCAGGCCGACCCAGCCCAAAAAATGGCCCAGCATGCCATGCGTGGGCCGAAGGCCAGGCCCGTGGCCCTGTGAGGCACAGCCCGGGAGGCATGACGTGCCATGCCGGCATGACCCCCATCAAGCCATGCCTGGCACGGGCCCATGCCGGGCCAGGCTAGGCCGGCCCGATGGCCATCTATACTACGGACTCAGGATGCAGCACATGGATGCGTCCGCTAGCGGCGGCTCGGCGTGGGGATGAGTTGCGGCAGCAGGAGTGGAGCAGGGATTGGGCGCCGGTGAGTTCCGTCGGAAGGCAAGTACAGCTCGTGGAGTTAAGGCATACTTCCTCCGTCCCTAAATAGCCGTCGTTTTTGTTTCCGAAAAAACAAATTTAACTAAATATTTATAATATTAATATTTATGGTACAATATTAATATTACTCCATATTAGATAGATTGTTGAATCTATTTTCATAATAAATTTATTCAGAGATACAAATGTTACACGTATTTTCTATAAATCCGGTCAAACTTATGGCAAAAAAACAAAAGCGATAGTTATTTACGGTTGGAGGGAGTATGGTGGAAGAGAAAAGAAATAGATTAGAATATGCAAGTGGGGCCTGCTGGCTCCAGATAGCGGTGTGAGTTAACAGGTCCATCCCCTCCTTCTATATAGTGTTTGGTTCAGGACCAGGTGGTTGGGTTGGGTCCAACCCAGTTTGTTTGGGATCAGATGAACCCATATCATGTTTGGTTGGCGGGTTTGAGCCATTATAGTTTTTTTGTTTGGTACGAGGGATGGAGCGGGTTAGGATGGATGACACTGTGAACTCCGTTAGTTGCTATCTACGTGGGACCCAGGTGTCAATGATCCATCTCTCTTCTTCCACCTCCTGTCGCGACGCACTGCCCCACCACACGCGCCCCGTACTACCCTGCCCCGCTGCGCAGCCTCGTGTCCCCGGGGAGCCCCGGTGGCTATGCTGCCCCACGCTGCCCTGCTGCACCTCGCCCCAGCATCGACATCCCACGAGACTAAGCTCGCCCGCGCCCAAGGTCGTGCTTGCCTGCGCCGGCCAATCGCTGGATCTAAGACCCCCTCCTCCTCCTCCTCCTCCTCCTCCTCCTCCTTTGGGTCTGAGCCCTCGTCCTCCTCCTCCTCTGGATCTGAGGGACGCAGCGGTGGCTAGGGTTCCGGCAAGCTTGAAGGTGATGGGCAGGGGGCTGGAGCAGCCCGCACCTTGAACCCATTCCCTTGCTGTTTTGTAAGTTTTGTTTTTGCTGTTTCTTCATATTGTAATGGGTTTTTTTGAATGTTGCAACAGATGATTTTCGAATATTGTAATAGGGTGATTCATGTGTTGGTGTTGTAGAATGGAAGTTCTAATGTTGGGATTGTTGCAGTAGGGGATTTTAATCGTTGAAATTACCTTTTTCATATGTTGCATCACTAAAAGGTGATTATTGAGTTGTTTCCATTTTTTCCATGTTTCGTGGTTGATTTTGTGATGTGGCGGCAGTATTGCTTGAGATGTTGCAAAGTACATATTTTTGAATGTTGCGGTACATAATTTTTCGATGTTGCAAGTATTTTATATTTCGATGTTGCACTACAGTTCACATATTTTTTGCGATGTTGCGCTTTGTCGTGCTTTTGGGACATGGGGAGCGGTGGGGAACAGGGCGTGGTGGGGAACGGGGTTCGTTGGGGAACAGGGACAGGGGCGCGGTGAAGAACGGAGGATAGAGGCGCGGTGAATTCCATTCCATTCTCCGATCCGATTCTATGGGGCTTGGGCGGTTTGGGAAAGGGAGCGACGTCCGGGCCTTGTTATTGTTGGCGCCCGGACGTCTGAAGCGCTAGGATGCCCGTTTTTTTTTTCTCTTTGATTCTAAAACAATACTATAATTTGTCTATTTTGACATCACAGTAGTTTGAAATAAAATTTAATATAAATATTCATCACATACATTCAATGACCCGTTAGCCATTTGAAAAAACAAGACATTGTTCCTCTTGATTTATTGTGAAAGAAAAATATTGTTAAATTTGAAAAAAAAAGTTTGAAAAGTACGGATTATAAGACAAGCGAACAGGGCCGATAACAACTCAACTTTAAAATTTTAGACGTCATAGTTCGAATTCAAATTCACACTTTACAGAAGTCATTTTTTTTAAAACGTTAAAACATAAGAGTAGAAGACATTTTTAGATTAATTGTAAGAAATACTAGCGTACAGTTTGTTTAAATATTTGATCCTGTATTTAAGAGTAGAAGACATTTTTCTACCCAAAAGTATGCTACCATGCAGGATTGTAAAGATCAGAGGACCCTCAAACATCTTCCAGATTTGAGAGAGATAGAGGAGATTGATAATCAGATTGTACATATGGGGGTGCCATCGGATTGTTATACAAATGAAGACAGAAAATAGATGGGTGAGTGTTTGTCCTTAAGTTGTGCCCTGTTCCTGTAACCCGATCACTTCAAAATCTCAATAGAGTCAATAGGATTTGACTCCATCGATAAGACCAATGGATAGGCAGGCTGTTCGCTCGGTCGTATTTGACTTATAAGCCATAACTTATTAGCCAACGAACAGTATTTTTCTCTCACACCAAATCAGCCAATAGTACTTTCAGCCATAGCTTATAAGCCAAATCAGTCCAAACGAACGGAGAGGCTGGCGAGCATATGAGCAATAGCCTACGAGGTAGCCTTTCTAGGCAGTTATAGAGAGCAAGCCAGAGTGCCACTAGGGCACCTGGAATGGATAACTCTAAGCTAGTATTAGATGTTACGTAATAAAGAAGAGATATGTCAAAAACTTTTGAACTAACGGGAAGAGAATAGCTAAGCTCTTTCAGCGTCACCATACTCGCAATGCACGAGAAATGCAACTATTCTATCTCTCTCTTGAGAGGAGAGAGAGATTATACCCCTTCAAATTGAATAGCGTGTATGTGGCTCCCCAGATTGTACGTGAACTAGTACTGCCTACACTCCAAACACATCACACGAAAAGAATGAGTCAACTAATAATAATAAACATCTCCAAAGTCATGATATGATTTCACAATAGTTAGCTTGCAGATCCACCATAGCATTCCACATATGCATACAGTTGCTTGTCTGCTAACAAGCTCCAATTACTTACTAGTTGAAGGCTAAACTCAGAACCGGTTCATGAACCATATCTCACTAGCACACAAGTTCCACCATTATTGTCTTCATGGATCAATAGTCTGCCTACCGACTGAATTTGAATGAATAAATGAGATATATCAGATGGACCTGAACGCCAAATGAAACATCTACAGCATCATAGCGTCTTTTATAACCTCTAAGAGTTTATCTCAAGTGCCCAATATCTATCTCAATAGAATTCATATGCAACCTGCTAGGCAATAACTTCAATAGTTCATCCTCCAGTCACCAGAAAAATGATGTCACACAGCAACGTAGAGCAGTTATGAAGGTTTCTAGTGCCAAACCTTGCAGCATGCATCCTTGTGTTGTGCTTGAGAGGGCTTCTCCTTGATGCAGATGACATCCATGAATGCATCAACCAGTTGGGCAACCAAGCTTGCAGGATCACCGATAAGAGCATCTACGAAGGCGCCCACGATTCGCCTGTCCTGTGCTGTTGCCTTTAGGCTGAACCAAGTGAGGAACTTTACACGGAAGTCGTTGTCCATGTGCCCTTCATGCTCCAGCCACCTGACCACCTTCACGCAGTACTCATACTGCTGCTCCACATAGTTCTTGTAGGCTGAATCTGGGGTGCCAATAAGCAAGTCAGGTTTACTAGGAGCTTCGGAAGGAGAGGAGTTGGAGCTTGCAAATGGTAAAACTTCAGAAGTTGGCGGCAACTGGCTTTCATCGTTGTCACTTGCACCGTCTAACCTTGCAACCTTAGCCCGCTTGGAATACCGCTCACATGATAAATTGTTCTCACTTGAATTTGTAGAACCCTTAGGTGAATCATATTGAATGGTTCTCTGATGATTCTGCACATTCAAATCCTTTTTCTGATGCTGCATTGAATCCTCTTTGAGGCACATGCTCTCAGAGTTTTGAGTTGAGCACTGGCTGCTACCATGGTCCAGGCTGCGTGTACTGCATTTTGCCTCCCATTCAGTAAACCCCTGTATGCTGCTAAAAGGCAAAACCTTGAAGATGTATTCAGTTGAAGGGCTCAGACCAGAAACCAGGCTCCTAGTATTTGGCCTCAGTATGTGGCATGTGGGCTCTGATGAATAGTTGCAAACCTTGGCACTTCGGTGCCAAACTTTGGAACCATCAATCTGCTCCTTACCAATGTTATCCTGATAGTTCAACACAATAACCACAGAAAATGGAGTGATCTCATCAAAAAGGATCTGGGGCTGGGGACCTGAAAAGATAAATGCCATCTGTTCAGACACGAAGTTGTATGTAACCTGTATGTTTTGTAAGGAAGACTTTTTTTATACTAATGTATTTTCACTTTTTTGGGTAACAAACATTGTGTGGCAAATTCTTCAAGGAAGACTTCTAAGCATGCAAAATGCAATTTAAACAAGGAAGTCAGCTATAAGACAATATTACCTAGGAGTTTTGGACTATTATTCGACTCAAACTCCAAGATGTTATCCACTGTAGAGTCTACAATTTCTAATGCACTTGAACAAAGCTTCTGAACTTCAGCACCACAAGTAAGCCGGTTCACGATGCCACGCCCCATGATCACAGAAACCTGATCCAATGCACCACCAACTTCTTTTTCAAGTGTTTTCACAGCTGAGCTGATTATGCTCGCTATTTCCTTGTAACGTTCAGACCCTTTTACCATTTTATGGCTCAATGACAGCCGCTCACAAAGCACATCAACTCTCCTTGCCTCCCTAGCAATTACAAGTTGTTTCTGCAAACTCCTGCAGTAGGTAAGAGGTAAAATATATACGTGAAGTTTCAATAGGCAGAAGAGGCATGTGTGACCATAATATTTATAGCATTTAAAAAAGCTCAAGTTCATTTTTCCTGTACTAGGAACAAAAAGCATACTTTTTGGTTATGATAAAAACTACCAAAAGAAGAAAGTATTGCTCCATTACAGACCGTGATACTAGTTCTGGATGATCAGACCTAAATAAGAATTAGGTTAACAAATAGAGTTCATAATTTTCCTATGGTATGTTAATGAACCAAAACAGTCAGAAGGATACCTCATTAGCCAGTTGATTTTCCCACAGCTAAAACAGTAGAAGCTACAGTCTAACTTGTTGCATCCATTCTTCACAGTGCCAGCCTTTTTATTCTTTAGAGCACAGTTTAGGTGACAAGAGACACCACATGAACAACCACTGTATGAATTATCAGAGCTGCAAACCAACCACAAGCTAGGGTCTTTGTTATCATCATATTTATTGCAAATGCAGCAAGAGCAACGTTTGCAATATTTATCTCCTGCATTCCGTGTGGCTTGGCATGCAACATTGCTGCACACCACTGAACTACCAGGATGAGCCTCTCTGCGTATTGATGAATCAAAGTTTGCAGTTTTGGGTGGTCGTGATTGTTCCTCAGATTCCTTCATTTGTGTTTCATCTTTGTTATCCTGCCCTGATAACATAACATTTGTATTATCATCCTTGAGTTGTCCATTCTTTCCACTCTTTCGTGAAACTAATTTCAATAGATAAGCAATCATCTTAGCTTTTGGGACATTGGTATACTTCCTCTCTTTGCCCAGCTCAACACAAATAAGCTCAAGAAGTTCCCTGCGGGTCCAGCACTGAAGAATCTCCACGGCACCTTGCGGCCATCTCGCAACTTCGTATACTAGTTGTCTCTTGTCCATCAGGCTCATCCCATTTTGTTTTTCTGGATCCATCACAATTCCTGGACGAAAGAATTATAAGACATAGCAGCTAAACAGTATTCAAATTGTGTGAATCAAGTATATAAATACAAAGAAAGTGTTATTGTGCAAGAGAACAGAATATAAATGAATAAAAACCAAAGGAAAAGGTATATCCTTTTATCATTTAATCTTTACTACAACAAAATAAGCATTCTTGAGAAGCTACATCATCAACAAATTATAAGCTAACAAACCATATATTCTTGTGATAGCCATCAATCTGTTGCTTCTCAATGCTAAAAGCACATCCTTTTTTTTTTTGAGATCAGCACATCCTTTTCTCTGTAGCACTGATATGACACAGTTAAGTTCACGCATGCTCTTACCGCTGCAGTAAAACATGTGTCATCATGGCATCTGTTTGTGCACTATATAAGTTCCTCACTGTTTGACAAATTGAATGGTTATATAGTATCACTTAGTGTAGACATAGCTAGAGAACATTTCTGGTGTGTGCTCCTAGGCATGTGATGGCCTTTTCTGATGTAGACCTCACCATATCCATCTACTAAATAACTGAACTATAGCAATTAAGTAACTCATAATCAAACGACACCAGCAAGCATGGAGGACTCACATTCATTCCAACCAGCCATCCACTAGACCAGTCACCAACTAAGAAATGAATGACACCTCATATCTTATGGAGGTGCAAAACTCACTCTACTGATTTGCATTCTCTCGTTTACATTTCTAATTTCCTTTTTACCCCTATGATCTGATGTTTCTGAATTTTTATATATCTGTTGTTTGTAAATATATGTAAGTTTTGCAATATTATTTCTCTAATCTCTTCAAATCTTTACATTTTTCTTACATTATTTACATTTGTTAACTTTTGTATATTGCCAGACTTAATAGTATTGTATTCCTTTTGCATTATCTATCAGCTGCATACATACGAATTTGTGGCATGAACTAGCTGGATATATTAACCCAAATGTTTGTTATTATGATGCACATGCGATTTAGAGTTCAGGAAAAAAAAATATTCTATGTATACTTCTTAGTCAATTCAGGGTAGATCGGTTCCTTAAGATTAACAATGGCGGTCAAAGCCGGCATGTACTGTTCAAAGGATAACAAGAAGACAATGATACTAAAAATAAGAAAATTTGTATTGATTCTAATTTAAGGATTTTATTGCTGAAATTGTTGCGTTGTTATTCTGGTCAAGTTCAATGTTTTGTTTTTTGAATGTTGTTTTTACATATAATTTTTGAAGGGAGCATTGTTTTAAGGCAACTATGAATCATGGATGCATTTTTACAGTTTATATTAATTTCCTAAGATAAATAAAAAGATATTCAGGTACAACAATAGTACTTAGATAGGCAAAATTACACCAACGCAACACACATGAGGAACATCTCATGACCATTTAATGATGCAAACCAATTGAATACTTATACCTCTAAATAAAGAGTACAGTGCACTTGCACGTACTCTCAACAAACTAGAGGCTCAAAAGTATGGTTTTAGTTTATATAGTTTCTCACATCATACTACAACGAATGTAGACATCTGACCATTGACAATACTTGAAGTGACAAAAAAAACAAGTTGAAATCAGAATTCTCATTTGCCTCTTTTATCAGTGCTTCAATTGGGTGATAGTTCTGGGCAACAACAACAACATAGCCTTTCAGTCCCAAGCCTTTCAGTTCTGGGCAAGAATTTTAATAATGTATGTGCATCACTTGCCTTCAGATATCACATTATTTACTTCTACTGTTCTGCACCATTAATATGTGAAGTCTTAGGTGACTATCAATTTCATACACCACTGTAGGATAGTAACAAATTTAGAGAGGCAAAATGATGCATCTCAGTGTAGAAGACAAGGTTAAATACATGAATTTCTCGCTGTCTTCAAACTAAAACAAGTGTACATTTTCCTAGGTCCAATCTTGAGAAAATAGTTATTAGTATCTTGAGCTGACTATCAGGAAAGAAAAATAATATTGGCAGTTGATGCTACTTCACTCTATTTGTTCTTAGTAGTAACCACGACATATAATAGCCTTCACATGTAGCATAACTACATTTCATGAAACTATCTTTGAGTAATCTTAAATCTTCTAGCCTACAAATAGAAAATTGGTAACAACAACAACAAAGCCTTTAAGTCCCAAACAAGTTGGGATAGGCTAGAGTTGAAACCCAGCAGAAGCAATTAAGGTTCAGGCACGTGAATAGCTGTTTTCCAAGCACTCCTATCTAAGGCTAAGTCTTTGGGTATATTCCATCCTTTCAAGACTCCTTTTATTGCCTCTACCCAAGTCAACTTCGGTCTTCCTCTGCCTCTCTTCACGTTACTATCCTGGCTTAGGATTCCACTACGCACCGATACCTCTGGAGGTCTCCGTTGGACATGTCCAAACCATCTCAACCGGTGTTGGACAAGCTTTTCTTCAATTGGTGCTACCCCTAATCTATCACGTATATCATCGTTCCGAACTCGATCCCTTCTTGTATGACCGCAAATCCAACGCAACATACGCATTTACGCAACACTTATACATTGAACATGTCGTCTTTTAAGTAGGAAATAGAAAATTGGTAAATCTTAAATTATTTTTGCATATACCATAAAGGGTCAGAAATAGAAAGGGCGACCAAACATCATACAATCCAGTGAACGTTCACAATCCCTTAATATTACTGTATTCACCTATCTCTGGACTCAGGTGCACAAAGAAAGTCATTTTACATCACTATGATTTCTAAAGAGAAAAGAAAAAGAAGAGTAAGTGAAGCTAGACAATGTTCTTAAGGCGGTGAGGCGAGGCGAGGTGACACCATATACGAGTCTATATAATAGAAGCAGCAAAACAACAAGGGAGAATGGAAGAAAAGGGGGAAGAAAAAGGAAACGGAAAAGAAAAAAACAAAAGGGGAAAGGGGAAAGAGACAAGAGGAAACTGGCCCAGCCCACCATGCAGCCCATATCTTACCCCTCCAATAGTACATTAAGCAGCCTGAGGCCCCAGGTGGCCAGATGCTCTCGATGACCCCTATCAATTCCCATAGCAACGCCGCCGTTCGCTCCCTGTCTCTCCCATAGCAGCGCCACCGCTTGCTCCCCATCTCTCCCCCAAATCAGCACCGCCATTCGCTCCCCGTCTCTCCCATAGCAGCTGCACTCCCTTCCCCATCTTCTTCCTTTCTCCGGCAGCCATCAGCTACTTACAGCCACTTCCCTGACGGTCAGATGGATCTATTCTAACACTCCCCTTCCATATCAGCTGTTGCCACAGCTCCCTTTCTAGATTGGCCGCCACCACTGCTGACCAAAGAGGTTTGCACCAGCCACCAGAGTCAAAGCTGCCAGGGATGGGTAAGCTGCCACTGCTTGGTCTCCCATTCCCCTCTTGTTCTTCTTCTTTTCTTTCACACTGATTTGGCTAAGGTGAAGCAGAAACCTAGAAGGCCAAAAGCACACAAGTGCCATGTTGCCTAGGCGTTGTTTTAAGAATGAAGCTAGATTCTCTTCAATTCTTCAATAATACGCCGCTGTATGAGGTACATCTAGGTCGTGTCTATAAACTCAAAACTTATGAGGCATATCTATGCCATTTATATAAATTAACCTAACTTACAAAGTCATTGCCTTGAAAGGAATTTCATAAAGTAAGATTTAATTTTCAATCACCTAACTAGATATGTATAGACTAGGACTTCCTATTTATACAACATTACCCTAAACATGATAGGATCACCAAAACTGGGCATTGGTCAATTATTGCTAGCTCATACCTCAATTCGGTGATCAAATTGTTGGATATTTCCATAACGATCCATAATTGCTATTACATCTTAAATTCATTCCAAGATTGCAACACAAAGCATTACCGAGTTTCAGGAGAACATAGAAGCTAAGAAACTAACAGCCCAACAGATCACAATTTCAAACGCTGGCCTCAAATGAAAGTAGCACAGAACAGATTGAAAAGAAAGAAGAGTAGAAAATGAAATATGAGGGATTAGGTGCTGCAAAAAAGCAGCACAGCACAGATTGAAAAGAATGAAGAGTGGAAAGTGAAATATGAGGGATTAGGGTCCTTGTCACCTTCCACTGCCTTTAGGGTTTAGAAATTGTCATCACCTTGGCAGCCTTTTAGAGATTATGGATCCTCAACACCACAACTCCCAGTCTTGTTAGGCTTTCGCACAACTTGCCACAACGAAGAGAAGCTTCTTTGAGAGTTCATTCAGGAAAGGAACTCTTATTTCTACAGTGGCAGAAAGACGCAATCGACTGACCAGTGTTCTATTAGGCAAGTTAGGAGCTAGGCGGCAGCGTCTTGGCACCTAGCACCTAGAGTGACAACGAAGTACCCAGGTGTCCAACTAGCTTGTGTGTTGTGGGCAGCAGCCATAGGCAGCAAGTTTTGCGTGCAACTACAACCAGCCTTGAGTTATTCACTTCACGATGCTCATATAATCGCCAAGCAACAAGTGAGAAACATTCATTTTGTACGTATTATTAGGCATGTTCATGTTACCAGAAATGCCCAGGTTTTGCAAATAGTCTCCAGAACCGGACTCAGGGAAAGGCATCGTGTACCAACACAGATATGGAAGCAGCACCAGAACATATAGGTTGCCTTATGAAGGCTTAACTGAGCTTGTCAAGAAGATCACATTGTCCGTACATGCATTAGAGGGCAAGTAACAATTGTATCAATAGGCACTAGAAGCCGTCAAGGCAACAATACAAAACAAGCAGGTGAAAGACGATACAGGGACAATTTATATATAATCGAACGGCATTCTCCATCTGCAGGAGCATAGTAGTGAGTTTACCAGCCAAGCAGAAGCCGCACGGTCGAACAAGGCTGCCACTCGTCACTTCAGCTAGACTTGGTTACCTGCAGAACATAACGAAAAAGTGGGGGGAACATCAGTCCGGCGTCTCGGACACACGTACGTACGCGCTCGTAGATGGTAGAAACAACCAGCAAACCAGCAGCATTGTCCAAAAGGAAACCGCTGAGGTCAATGCTGAAGAGAACGAGACCCCAATCGAAGCACAGAAGGAGGGTCACCGATTAGGGTAGCACCCCCAAAGCGAGCGCAGGGACAAGTGAGGCAACCAATCTATCGCCACACAATCTGTACGGGTTGGGGGGCTCCCGTCCGAGGGAGGGCGACTTTGGTTTTTTGGGGGGGGGGGGGGTTTCGATTCGATTGCTCAGCCCTCTCCAAGAGAGGATGGGGGGGAGAGTTGAGAATCGGGCCGGAGCTTACCGGATCTCCCTGCGCGCGACGCCATTCCGGGGCCGGGCCAGTAGCAGCGGGGCGGGACTTGGAGGCGGCGGCGCGGGTGGGAGGAGGAAGGGCTGGCGGCGGGCGTGCTCGGCGGCGGTGATGGTCCCCTCGGGAGTCCGGAGATGGTGCCGTGGCCCCGTGGTGGTGGTGCGCGAGTACTTTGTTTTGAGACCGAGACGGAGACGAGACGAGGGGGCCACGCCACGCCAACGCTACGGGGGGAGGAGTCGGGACTCGGGACTGGGAGAGCTGCGGTTGCAGACTAGCAGACGCTGAGGCAGCAGCCAGAAGTCCGTGGTGGGCCGGAGAGGAAGCGTGGACCAAGGATGGTGCAGGCCCACTGCGCAGTAGAAAAAGGCAGCCCATGCTGCACAGAGCATCTCGAGGATCGAGCGTACAACGGTACTATGTCGAGCCACATGTCAGCTCAAGGAATTATTTTCCGTTTTCTGCGCTTGTCTATTTTTTTTTTCCATTTTCTGTGCTTCTCTTTTTTTCACCAACCAAGGAGCCTCTCCTCTGGAACATAGGATTTTTGGAATAGGAAAAATACAAAATTAGAGTTGCACGAAATTTACAATTCTACAGGAATCTATAATAATGCAGGAAACTTTCTAATGTAGCCTTTGGTAGTAGGAAGTTATACTTCTAGAGTAGTTAGTTAGGAGAGCTTAAAAAAGTTCAAACGTGGGTAATAAATTGAAAACCTAGTTCTACATATGTAGATAAAATCACAAACACCGAGAGTTTGGCTCCGTTCGGATGGTACGGTTCTGGAGGAATTTGGATGGTTCGAAAGAATTCTAGAGGAATCTGTAAGAGGAAAACACTGTTCCGGATAAAAAAAGAAGCGAATCAAGTCGGGTTTAAGGGCACACGAACAGGGCCTTTGAAGGTGTGCAAACCTCAATGATTAGGCATAAACCTAGAGTAAGGACTAAAGCCTAACTAGCCTAAGCACTACGCATAGTATTTTTGTTAATAGCCTAATCTTTTCATAAGCATTTTTAGTGACTAGAGTATTAATAGATGAGCCTCAACTCACTAGCAACTTACTTCATCTAAACACACCTTATTTAGTGTGACAGAACCGCCTAATCTAATGTCTCCTAGTAGTGCTCGTCTTTCATTAGACACTAAGCACTCAGGGAAGAACACTAAATTACTCGGTTCCGTCGGGCACACCCCAGGGGAGAACCCGAAAATCCACATTTTTACCATCAGGATCACAAATGAGAGAATAAGGCTTACATCATTCTTAACCATTTCTTACATCACTTTTAATACAACATCATAGTATAATATTTATTATTATAACAGCGGAATGTAATCATATTATCAGAGTTATAAACAATTTAATTGAACAGCGGAATATAAACATGTGATCAGAATTACAGCGAAAATAATATCTAATCATGACATGATGAAGTATTAATATATAAACTACGACAACAGATTATGAAACTTTCATTTATAAAAGCATTTGGTGAGAGTTATAAATAACAACTACGATCGTAGCGTAAAGAAATCCTCGCTGAGCCCACCAGGAGGTATCCACACACAAGGGTCAGCTCTAGCATCCACCTGTCACCTGCAACAGGGGAAATAAAACCCTGAGTACTCAATTGTACTCAGCAAGACTTACCCGACAGGAAGAAAGAAAAGACTCTAAGGATATGCAAGGCTATCTGGCTTGTGGGTTTATTGCATTTGCAGGAAGCATTACTAAGTGTGCGTCCTTATATTCGATTTTTATTAATAGCCATATTGGTTCATTAACTAACCATTCTATGTAAGCACATGTGCTACTTTTAAGCAGGTGGTAAGCAATCAGATTTCCTTTTTCTAGCTTTTATCTTCCAATTCTTACTACGGTGCTAGACCGTAGACAAGCCGATGTCGGATTGCCCGGTGATTCATGAATCAATACCCCAATGGGTACCCAAACACACGCCCGCTTGTACCCCGGACACAAGCGGGACTAACACATCACTCTCTCCGTCTCTGGGTCCTAGGTCCCCATCCAAGCCTGGGACTCAAGCCCCCCTCGAGTCCGGACTCGGTCTTGGTGCAAGGACCTCCTCCACCAAAACAAAACCACGACGATCGATCCAAAAAGAGCCGGAACCCACGACAAGAGAGCAACAAGTCTTTCAAGAGCCCATACACAAGTATGTGCTCGGGATAATAAAACTGTGACTTGCCTAGAGACTTATGCAACGACCGGTCCTTAATCGACACGACATACAGGGGGAAAGTAGTGTAACCAAGCCATGCCCGCGCCCACGGCGACACAAGCTCTTACACCTACCAATACCTAAACCATATCCCCTGTCTAGTCACCATTTTCCTTTCCACAATTTTTATATTTTCCAAGTGATAATAATTCAATAATATATTTCCTATCTCTCGCGAGTGACAGCCATCACTCGACTTCTACCAGAGTCCTGTAGCATAGCAATCTACACGATCTGTCATACTAGTAAGACTCATAGGATAAAAAGATATATATATATATATATATATATATTTCATTCAACTCCTTAAAACTTAATGCACAATTATAATTTAAACTGCAGAAGAGTAGGGGTTATGCAGGGGCTTGCTCAGGTAAGATATATATTAAAAAGTTAGTATCGCATCTTCAAATCATCCACCATCCGAATAGAAAGCCCATCGCATCATCTCCTGGGAGAATACCATCACACCATCTTTGAATTCCTATCATCCTTCAATTGATCCGTTGATCCATCATCGTACCTATATGATATGCATTGATGCAAATGCATATATGTAAATAATCAATGATAGCCGAAATGCTTAGAAATCCGATTACGTCTTATAAGCTAACGAGATAGCTCTAATTTGGTCTCACGTATCCATGTTGTCGAATATGGCGTTACTTCCCAACAATTGTTTTAGTTATACAATTTCACGGTGTTTCTTTATTCCATTCTATCGATTTAATCCATATTCAAAATAGGACATCATTACCTACCTAGCAAACTGATTATTCTGGAGCCACAAAAATTACAATGAGAACCTAATATTGCTAGGAACCTACTGTAGAAATTTCAGATCCAACACTCTTACCAATTTACCACGGAAATTCCTACAAGTTCTCCTTTTAACAATATTAACCACCTTAATTTAATTATATAGCTTCTCAGAATATCATCA